CTAATCAATGATCAATGATATGTGTCCCTGAAATAGACTGGGTTCGATTAAAGGTGGTTTCAAATTCTTTGGTGTCTTTCCATTGAGAGGAATCTCCTTCTCTCGTTCTAGAGTCTGGGCTGGGCTTTGTGACTGCTTGATTGGTAGCATGCCGAAGTGACATTTGGGGACTTCCCAGGCCAGGTCACTGGAATCCTTGCTGCTTATCCCTGAGCCTCTTGGAAGATTTGTTCTCAGAACCCTGAGCCACTGCGTCCAACCATGTGGAAAGGCCCTGAGAAAACATGGAGAGTCAGAGGGGTCCAGCTGAGCCCAGCCTTCCAGCTGTGCCAGATGTGGGGCGCCTGGGTGGCTCAGTTGGTTAAGCATCTGCCTTCAGCTCAGGTCATGATCCCAGGGCCCTGGGATTGAGCCCCATGTCAGGTTCCCTGCTCATCGGGAAGCCTGCTTCTCCCTCTCCTTCTGCCCCTCCCCCTGCTCATGCTCTCTCTCTCTCACTCTGTCTCTCTCAAATAAATGAATTAAATCTTAAAAAAAAAAAAAGTGCCAGATGTGAGTGTGAGGCCCTTTCGGACCTTCTAACCAGCTCATCTACTAGCTGAATAACACCAAATGACCTCCATCGATACCACAGGGAATGGAAGAATCACCCTGCCGATCCCTGCGCAGGTTCCTGATCCAGGAAATCAGGAGCAATAATATGGTGGGGCTTTTAAGCCACCTGCTCCTTGGGTGCTTTGTTACATACACAACAAAAGATATGTAACTGCTGGATCTGTGACTCAGGCTCAGAGGCCAAACCGACCACCAGTTAAGGCAACGGCTCAGTCACTACATCGTGGAAGACAGAAGCCCTTGTTTCAAGAAAATGAGACCAAGGGACAAAGGTCTTTTCGTAAGCCATCGGTCCTAGATGACATTTCCAGATGAAGCTGAAAACTTGCCTTTGCGAACACTGACTCTATGCCCCGTGGGGCCAGTGTCCACCGAGGTGGCCGCCAGGAGCATCGGGGAGCCGCCCTTCAGTGTAACGGGGAAGCTGCCGCAGCGTGCAAGCCATCCACTGGCGATGTAAGCAGCACGCTCTATATTGTTAAAAGGTGACAGTTTGGCACGAGGACGTGTGAATTCAAGTGATTAGATGCAAACTAAAAGAGAGACGACTATTTCTGAGAGCCGTGGGTTAATTTTTTGGCTGTTCCTGGAATGGAAAATGATCGTGAATTTTGGGGGAAAAATACCCGAGCAATCTGTTTTCTTGGCCGCGTGCTACGGAGCAATTTTAAAGCATTGAAGTGCTTTCCATATTTTCTAATCACTCAAGTCCAGAACTGATTACGGCTCTCCGCATCTCTCAGATTCACACCACCAGAGCGCTGCCCGTCTTTCAGGGGCAGGTTTCACCTTGAAAGCAGGCACCGGATTCGGAAGGCACATCTTGCTACAGTGGGAACAAACACTTTAATTGCACGCAGCCCCATAAGGGCCAGGTGTTTCGGAAAATCACTGATGGCTCGACTCAGAGACAAACCCAGATTCACTTTTTCTTATCTCACAGAAACAAAGCATAACCTTCCCCACGAAACAGGAAGAATGAAAAGCGCTACCAGAAAGTCAACTCTCCCAAACAAACACGAGAGAAATTTAGACTTTGGGGACTTGTGGGCATGGACATGCACGCATGCATGCATGCACACAGTTGTATATACATGGAATATCTCTGGAATGAGCCCTGATAATTGGTTGCTGTGTGGTTTTCTCTAGGGAGAACTGGGGGGCTGGAAAAAATTGGGAGTTTGATGGCAGGGGGAGACTTATTTTTTTATCATAGCCTTTTGAATATTTTAAATTAAAAAGAATCAGAGGTGCCTGGGGGGCTCAATTGGTTAAGGCCGACTCTTGATTTCGTCTCAGGTCATGATCTCAGGGTTGCGAGATGGAGCTCCGTGTCGGACTCTGTGCTCAGAGGAGAGTCTGCTTGTCCCTCTCCCTCTACTCTTCTCCTGGCTCACACACACACACACACACACACACACACACACACACACACACACACACTCTCTCTCAAATAAATAAATAAAATCTAAAAAAAAATCACATGATGCATTATTTTTCAAAATAATGAAACAGAATAATTCCAAACCTGTATATGATACTTATGATCTGCAAGCAGTGTGTTAAATGCTTTATGTACATTCTTTCCTTTAATCCTTACAACCTTATGAAGTAAGCATCCTGATTTTATAGATGAGGAAACTGAGGTACAGAGAGGTTAGGAAACTTGTCCAAGGTCACACAGCTAGTAAATGCAGAGCTGAGATCTAGACCCAGAGAGTTTGGCTCTGGAATCTGTCCTCTTAATTACTACATAATACTGCCTTGCAAAAAATAAACATACTCAGTTGCCTGCTCATAATCACATTGGGGCAGATAAAATGGTTCTTTTCTTCTTACATGGCCCTTTAGGGTGATGGGGTGGAAAAGATGATGGCTCAAAACAACCCAAGATACAATCCACGCGGCTTTAGAGGGCTTTGAAATTCTGTGAATATCAGGTCAAAAGCTTGACATTGGCCACACTGCGTAATCTTTCTTGAGTTTTAGCAGCTACTCTGTGCCAGTTACTCTGCTAGAATTTGGGTGAAACTAGTGAATAAAATAGAGTTCCTGCTCTCTGGAGATTTACTGCATCCTCAGGGAGACAGGCAGTAAACAAATAATCACACAAATTACAATGCGAGCAATAAGGACAAATGAAAGGGGGCCTGGAGAGATGAGGATTGGGGCCCTGATTTATACTGGGTGGCCGGGAAATGTCCTGTCGACAGCCGGCTGAAGAATGGGCTGGGGGGGCGCCTGGGTGGCTCAGTAGTTAAGCGTCTGCCTTCGGCTCAGGTCATGATCCCAGGGTCCTGGGATCGAGCCCCGCATCGGGCTCCCTGCTCCGCAGGAAGCCTGCTTCTCCCTCTCGCGCTCCCCCTGCTTGTGTTCCCTTTCTCGCTGTGTCTCTCTCTGTCAAATAAATAAAATCTTAAAAAAAAAAAAAAGAATGGGCAAGGGAAGTGGAAGAGGGCGGAAGAACGAAAAGGATTCTGGGTGGGGGTCATAGCCCATGCAAAGACTATGAGGCAGGAAAGAAGCACCTGTCTGAAGACAGAAAGGCCTCTGTGGCTTAAGCAAAGTGAGTCGAACCGAGTCTGGAGAAAGAGGCAGATGATATACACCATGAGAACTATCTCACAATTTTTCCAAGAGCCATGGGAAGCCACTGTAGGTTATCAGTAGGAGTGACACAATCTGATTTACTTTTGAAGAGGACTACTTGGGGTGCCGTGTGAAAAACACGCAGAGGAGGAGGCAAGGAGGCAGTGAGAAACCAGTTAGGAAGGCCCCACAGGAATCCAGGCAAGCGATGGGGATGGCTCGGAATAAACAGCTGGCCGAGGGAGGAGGTCGGTTTGCGATCTCCTTGGGTGGTATGATATTTTATGCGATTAGAATAATAATAATGTTGGCTATGAAGAGTAACTATGGAGCATAAGTTCACAGGTGTGAAAATGCTTTGTCAACCGTAAAGCATTGGACAAAGGTAACTCTTACTACAAATGAAGAAACCAAGTACTAGAGAGACTCCAAGTTGCCCAAAGTCACACAACTCCTTAGTGGCTGGGAGGAAGTTGGTCTGCCATCCCTTCACTCCTCTTTGGGGTGATGGTGTTGGTGGGGAGACCCAGGGGAATTAGAAGAAGGCTAGTGACCAGGTGTAATTCCCTTGTCTAGTGGGCCTCTGAGTGAAGAGAGTAATGACACTCAGGACGCCCCTGGCTAAAGACTACCTCTAGTAAATAGGACTCACGATCTATGAGGCGGGGCTCCTTGGAGAATATCATGTCAGCTATAGAACTCTCTGGGGTATAAAATGGAGACGTTTCATAATCAAAATGTTCTGTAGTGAGAGGTGACCCCATGATCCTCATCTATTATTCTGGGTCAGAGCTGAGTATTTAGTGAGGGAAGACAGGACCTGGGGAGCTGTTCTTGAGGTCCCCAAATGTTCTTTCTTTCTTCTGAATCTCCTGATGACCTGTATCCTTGAAATTATTCAGCAAAGGTTTATATTGGGTAAGAGCTCTGATTTATGTGACATGATTTGACAATCTCATCCCACGTGTCCCAGGCCATGCTCTTCCAACGATCTCTGTTAGCCCCCATGTAACATCAGGCCCAATTACAAGGTCCAGAGATGAAGGGAGAATATACTAGCTTACATTTGCACCCCTTGCTAGGAGCCTAACTCTGGTATTTATTTGACACATAAGATATCTACCTACTGGAAAATTAAATTTTTAGGATAGTTATGCAAGTTAAGAAACAGGATGAATCTGTGAATCAGTAAAACTTAAAGAACATAATACTGGATTCTTTGTGATGGTTCATAGGACTACCCTAGGAGGTGAACCAGGCCTTTTGAGACTGATCCTAAGCAGTTACCTCCGAGAAGTCTCCTTGGATGCTTAGCTCACCCACCACCCTCCAACTGCCAAAGAATCAGGACAATATCAATGTTCTACGGTGAACATCATTCCCCAAATTATTCAAGGCCCTAAGTCATGGGGTTCTCTTCTCTCTTTTTTAAAAATGCACAATTAATCTCCATCTACAACCTCATTTTGGAACTGAGGAGGGATGATGAAAGAGAGCTGTCACTCCAGCTGGGAGGGAGAGAAACCTTTTTGCCTTCTCTGCCTCATCACCAACTCTTTATGCTGGAAGCATCAAAAGACAGAATCAGTACACAAGACCTCAGGTCCTACTCCTGGCACAACACTCTCCAACTGTGAACTGAGCTGCTGCAGATAAAGCACGTCAAGGGCCCACGGTTTCCTCTGGCAGATGCTCCCCACGAGGACAGTGGCAGCCGTGTGTGATGGCAGCATCGTAAACATCCTCTACCACCGCCCGCCCCGGCACAAGCTCCCCAGCTAACGCCTGATATTTACCTTCAGCGAGTGGGTCAAGGGTGTGAATCATGAGCTGGAAGATGCTATTCCTCATGAGACTGTTGTGGAGAGAAGCAGAACTTCCACCTCGCTGGAGACGTGGCTTAGTCTGAGCAGAGAAACCAGACAAAAACGCTGTTAGTTCTCGGAAACCATAGGCAAGTGTATTGCAGATATGCTCTCACTTAGTCTGGTGGTCACTCATTTCTGTCACATGATGACATGCTATTGTAAGAAAGATGTTCAAAGTGCATTTCAAATCCTGCCAAGGAATGGCCTTCTCACATCCTAAATGAATTCATTGCTACCTTTTTTTTTTTTTTTGAGCTTACTAAATGCTAGTCAATGTACTATACACTTCACTCCCACTGTTTATCTCAATCTCACAATGAGCCCTCTGAACTAGACATGGTCATCATTCCCTTTAGACAGATAAGGACACTGTCTCAGAGAAGTGAAACGAGATGAAAAATGGAGGATAGAGAAATGGATCTCAGGTTTGCTTCTCTCAAAGTTTGTTATCTGAACTGGTGGATGGTCTCTAAAATGTTTAGATTGTGCACCCTATCTATAAAAGTTTTGAGTATGCATATATGTATCTATCTCTGTCTCTATATCCACACATACCAAAATATGAGCATAGCTATGATAAAACATTTGCGAAAGGAGAAATTATGAAGAATAATATAGAAAGTAAATGATAGAGGTGCTAATATTTCCTCCTTGCTCCCCAAAAGATCAGCTTGTGTATCTCCTGGGGACCTCATCTCTACTCTGGGGACCACAGTTCTAATTCATGAAGCCCTATGGTCTACATTAAGAGAGATCTAAAGGGAAAGAGCCTCCTATTAAGAATCCACTGAAAAACCTCTTGACTTCCATGCTGGGGGGAGGGGGGCTCCTTTTGTATAAACTACTGGTGTGATTGGTGGTAGCCAATGAGGTGAAACTCACAGGTAAGAGAGGAAGAAAGAATTTCTAGAGATAAGTTACCAACAAACTCTTTTTATGGCGATCTTCAAAAGCAAATAAGCTAAAAAAAGACACCCTACACCCTCAGGATTTGATGGATTTTTATCCTGACTAGGAACTGCTTCCTCTCACTTTGGTTGATTTTGTGCTAGTTCTCAAAGGGGAAGAGGCTTCAGAAGCAGCCAAGCTTTACAGACAGCCAGATTTAAGAGGGAGCAAGGTCAGGTAATGCGAAGGAATTAATTGCTTATTGAACTTTCAATCCAAAATCTCGACATACAATTTTTCTGGGGCCAGGTAAAAATAAAATATGATTTTCCATGAAGTCTCCCAACTATCTACATTACAGGGCTTTCCAATATATCCAATCACAGTCAAGACCCACAAAGGGGCTTCCCAAGAAGAGTCCCCCAAGAGACTTCACAACCATATATATTTGGCAAGCGCTACATCCTAGACCAACCCACCTTTAGCATTTTAAGATACACATTAGACCACTGAGTGTAACACTAAAGAAATCTGGTTAACTTGGTTAACTTGGACAGTGCCCCAAGGTCTCTTATTTTGTAGAATACTTATTAACAATCGTGGTCCACACATTTGGGGACAAAGGTGAAAGCCATGGTAACTTGAAGTATGGGCAAAATGCCAGTATGAGATACATGGAGAAATCTGAATTTCTTAGTGTGATTTTATTATCATTGATATGCTGTCAAAATCATACTCCTAACTCTGACGGAAGAAGAATCAGAGGATATTGTGAAACTGATCATGAGTTCCTCAAAGCAAGAGATTGAGTCTGTATCCCTAGCCCAGTACCAGATCTGACATATCCGATGGGCTCTCAATGAATGTCCTGAGTCTTTGCTCTGAGCACTACAGGAGGATGGATGGGGTCATATGTATCTTTATTACTAGTCTCTTCAGTTTTAAATCTGTAACATTTTTAATGCATTGTAGTATTTGATTCAGATGATTAAGTTTCAAAATATTTTAGGGGCAAGTTTAGGAGCCTTGACTAGAGTTGAAATGTAATCACTGTTTGATGGCTGAACACAAAAAACTCTGAAGGTCATTTCCTTGCCATCTTGCACATTACAGAATGTGATATGTTAACTGGATAGGAACTGGAAAATGTGTTTGTTGTTAATAATTTGTCATAATCACTGTTACTATGCTCATTCTAGGAAACTGGAAGAACTTTGTTGTGGAGATCTTCATTGGCAAAGGATTATATCTATTTGGGTATTCTTTTGGGTATTAGTTATATATTAAACACATACGTCTCATGCAGCATTTCTTTTGATGGAACCAAAAGAAATTTCCAACCAGAAATTAAGGGCATGCAGATACATAAAAAATAGATATCAAGCATTAGATCCCACACTGTCCCCAAATATCAGCTCAACATCCCATGGGATGCAGTTTGGAAATATTTCCTTCTTTCAACTCACATTAAAGTTTATGCCAAATGAAAGAGAGAAGGCAAACTTTTTGAAATCTAGTCCCAGAAATAATTTGAGTATCAGTGAATATCAGAATACAGTTGACACTAATTATAGGACTGAGTATACATATATACCGGTAGATTGAGCCGTTTCAGTATCCCAAGGGGGAGGATGGTTTGTTGAGCACATGAGCCCTCCTCCTCCCACCCCTGTCCCACACTCTCCACAGGCACACGAACAGGTATAGACAGAGCCACTTCTTCCTACCGGTAGAGCCTGCTCATCCTTGTCCCTGGCTGTAGATGACTGCAGAAGAGAAAAAGGCAAAAACAGAAGACAAAGAAATAAATAAACAACAAGTCCCATGTCGGTTTTACATTTAATAACAAGCATCAGTATAAGGAAAGATTTGGTTCTTTCTGCTTCTGGGCAGGGAGGAACCAACACAGGGGGCCAACGGTATAGATTACTAACCAATATATAATGGTTTATTTAGGCCCATGGTACATTCTCCTGGACACTCAAAAAGTTGAATGGCCATCCCAAATGCCCAGCAATGGAGGGCAGTTCAATCCACTATGGCGCATCCATGCAGTGGAATCCCATGGGGTCATTAAAATAAACGAGGTAAGTACACATGTACTGACATGCAAAAGTATCTAAGATATACTGTTCAAGTGACAAAAATTAAGGTCCTTCTGAGAAACAAACTGAGGGTTCTAGAGGGGAGGGAGGTGGGAGGATGGGTTAGCCTGGTGATGGGTATTGAGGAGGGCACGTTCTGCATGGAGCACTGGGTGTTGTGCACAAACAATGAATCATGGAACACTACATCTAAAACTAATGATGTAATGTATGGGGATTAACATAAGAATAAAAAAATTAAAAAAAAATTAAGGTCTTATTTGTCATGTCATTTTATAGAAGAAAATAAATGAACAAAGCTTTAGTATATGTAAAGAAAAAATTCTGCAAGAATCAACACCAAACCGTTATTAGTGGTTATTGTTGGGGGCTGGGATTACAAGGAAGTATCATCTTCTAAGTATTTTGGAGGGCGTCCACATTCACCACCCCATAAATAAATAAATAAATAAATAAATAAATAAATAAATAAAGTGAATAAAATAAATCCTGAAGAATGTGGACCCCTGAATTGAAGACTAAGATCA